AAAATGATATTTATCGTAAAATTTATGAAGAAAAAAAAAACCGAAATATACTGCTAAAAGACTGAAGAACTCACATCTCCACCTGGGCCATTAATGTACATATAAAGCTTCTTTGAATCCTCGATGCTATCAAGGTACAACATGGTTGCAAGTATCTGGTTACTGAACTCTTCATCTATGTGTTGCCCAATAAAAATAACACGTTCACGGTACTGCAGTGTCGAAGAATTCAAGAAAACTTCTATCAAACAAGTTTCAAAGAAAATGATGAACTAGGTCGATTGATATTCGGATTTATAATTTGGTGAACAAAATAAAGGAAATTTAGGTAAAGCCATAATATAACGATGAGTTGTGTATTTGATTTTTTAGCAATGAAGAAGCGAAAAAAAGACTTACGAGAGCATTCCACAAATCAACCCACTGCCAAGTTCCCTCTGTGGGGTTTCTATAAGGCACTCTAGGTGTTCCAATAGGCATCATTGAAACACGGCCCCTTGTTGGTTTCCTATTACTAGATCTGCAATTGGATAAAACGAGCAAATAGAAAGAGAAAATTCAAAAAATTTCACAGTTATGGATATTGTATAATATGATCTTATTCAAGAAAAAAAAAACTCCGCAAATAGGTTTGATGGTGCTCGTGAGCAAAAGGATTATAATATACTAAGGCCTCGTTTGGTTGCCAAGACAGGATTAGCCAAGATAAAGATTAAATAATCTAGTGAAAACCTTTATTTGATCATGGAAGCTCCCTAAAAGGCAAGGTTAGATAAGCCCTGATAACATAATATTTGCGGGTCGACCCGAGAAGTTCTTGGGTATACCAAACATCGAAAAAATTCCAATTATTTAGTTAATCACGGCTAGTTTCCCCAACCAAACGATGCCTAAAAGTACTATATATATCTATATACACAGAATAAACTGGTCCGTATGCTCATCCAAGTATGATACATACACATTGCAAGCCAAAAAAAAAAAACCGAGTTAACTCAAAAACGAAATTCCATACATATTTAAGATCAAGTAAACGAGTCAACACTGAGAATAAACTCGTGATTGGTGAACCATGCTGTAATTTTACGGAATGCAACTGTAAAAATCGTTGAAGAAAATCATGTACTTGCAAATAAAATATAACTGAAGTTAAAAACGAAGAAACAAAAAATACTGTCTCAAATTAATAAATTCGAGATGGGAAATTGTGCCCTAGAAAGAAATTTACCTGGACTCCATACTCTTGTGAACTCTGGCATGGAATTCCACATTCAAATTGGGTTTTCCTACTCCATAACAATCTGTGCATTTTCAGAAAATAAAAAAAAATTGAATTCAAAATTACAGGAATTTGAATAATAAAGGAGTGAAGATTAGAGCACACGTACTTGGAGATTGAGCTCTTAAACCCACAAATACTTTGCTGGCACAGCTGCAATTAGGAATAATTGAGAAATTGGAATTAGAAAAATTATAGCTTTGATTTTCGAGAGAAATTGAAGAAGAAAAGCAAAAAAATTAACCTGAGAGAATACTGCGCAGAGTCGATTTTGGAGTGGAGATACGAGGTTGGAGCGACTGCCATTGTTGTGAGGAGAGAGAGAGAGAGAGACGATTATTTTTGGATATGGAGGAGAGAGAAGCGGGTTAGTAATTCACAGACCCGGTTTATCAAGGAACAAAAAAATCAGAGACCCGGACCCGTATTATTTATTCAATGGGTTCTAAGTTTAAAATCGTGCTCAATTAAAATAAAGGGTAAATTACAAACACCCCCCTGAGGTATGGTCGAATTACAAAAACACCCCTCTTGTTTGGATAATTACATCCACCCCCTCAACTCCTCAAATATAGTGGAATCTTCGAGATTATATGGAATATTATCACTTTTGTACCCGTTTTATCCCATTCAAACTCTACATTATGAAGAAAGATGATCATAATATGTGATTTTTAGCTTGTATATATCAGTTTGTGGTGCATCGGAAACTGTATTTTTTACACAAAATGAGTACAAACTAGAGCACATTTCACGGAATCTAGATGACTATGTTGAATTTGGCACCATAAAGGTGGAGGTCTAAGAAAAAATCATAGTTGAGGGGGGTAGATGTAATTATCCAAACAAGAGGGGGGTTTTGTAATTTGACCATACCTCAGGGGGGTGTTTGTAATTTACCCTTAAAATAAAATGTTTACAGAATGTTTTTGTGATTAAAACATAGGGAACTACGAAAAATTATACATGAATTAACGAAAACATTCTTGTAAAGATTTGAAGTGTTTTAATTTATTTTTTTCGTAAAAGTGGAAATTGATGATTTGGTGTTTGTAAAAAGTAAGTAAAGGTGATTATGAGGGAGGTTTAACATGCTTATTTATTTCAAAAAACAAAAAATTAATGACCAATTTATAAATTGATGTATTTGAAAAAATAAACTTTAACTTTCACTTTCATTCTATAAAAATGCCTTGCTTCGAACTCACAATACCGAATCCTTATAAAGCAAAAGCCCAACTAATTGGGCCCAAATCCTTCAGGCCCAAGGCGGCAAGCCATACTGAAGGCCTCGCCTTTCATTCCGACTGTCGAGGTCGAGATTTTCTTCACAAATCATTCGACCAGTGTGCATAGGTATCAACTGATTTGACCGTCGTAATGTTAACTCTAGCGTCAGTCCGGATATTCTTCTTTTCCTAGTCGACCATGTCTAATGTCGTTGTAAATTGAATTTAGATTCGAAATTATAATTTACTTTAAAATATGCTAAAACAAAAACTACTTTTGCAAACGGTAAAACTAAACTGTGAGGCAAGAAAAACTCATAAATTTGTTTTATACACCTTTGCAAACACCACCGCCTTAATAAAGCTTGAATAATTGCTCATTTTTAAAACTCGGAGGCAACCCTTACTTGATTCTGACCGAACAAAGAGCACAATCTCGTACCTTAACAAGTGTAGATGACAGATTTGAAGCCAGTTTAATGTCTAAAACATCTATAGACGATAAACCCTAAAAAAACCACACAAAGTTGGTACATTATAAAATATGCCCCTACTATATCCATCGATAGGAAAACAAGATTCAAGACGGCTTTTCGTAAGTGTTAGCCTCTCTGAAAGTTGCAATGGCACTCTTTATCATACCACCCATATCCGATCGAACAAACAGATGGGTGTTATCCAATACATGGATTATAAACTTCTGCGACTGAGGCAGCGATGCGTTCATGTTGATTATGAACTGCGTCATCGGAATGTCGCTGCACAAAACCAATAAGAAAATTATCTTACACGACATATATGAACTATGTGGCAAAACTCTATCGTTATTAAGACAAAATGGAATTTTACCATGAAATGTACAATCCTTTGACTGGATTCGACACCATGACCACTGTCCTCGAGAAAAAAAAAATTAAATAAAAAAAATTATGAGAATGCATTACGAATACGACAAAATTTCACAGGCCATATGGAAGATAATCGTGATCAATTTCAGCATTAACAACCTCGATTATCAAAGAGCAAAATTCATGTCCATTGCAACCGAACCAAATTGGAGTCGGCCTTAAATTACCGAGTCTATTATTTAAACCGATAATACAGAGCTTCATTGTGCACAAGCATTTAAAATTGACAAAGAACACGTATTTAATATTCGCATCGTGATGCAATTCGAGCTAAAGTTTTGAACGAATTTTTTTTTTTTACATTAATACGACGCGAAAATCACTGCATAATATAACAATTAGAGGTAAACCTAGAATACAACAATCGAATCGCTTCAAGAAATCTGTAAACCTAGAATTATTTGGGGTTTTATTCACATGAAATTAATCGTTCAAATTGTAACCCACGGTTCCGATCAAAACCCTAAAAGAACCGCCGCAGAATCCCCGCCGGAAATTTATTAAATTAATATTCATCAATCTTTCCACAACTAGAACTCGTGAAGATCTCAAAATTCAATTGAGAAACGAATACAACAAATTAAATATAAAAAATAAAAATAAAAAAATTGATCAACCTGCGCAGTGATTGATGTTTGTATAGAGATGTAAGAGAGAGAGAAATTGAGTTGAGCTTCTTTCGGTTGCTTGGAAGAGCGAGGGCTAACGGTGGCCGGCGGTAAACCAAAGGGCCTGTGTGCTATTTATAGAAAAGAGTTTAAAGTTTTGAATAAATTACACATAACTCACCTAAGATATGTCTAATTACACTTAACCCTCTAATTCTACAAAAATTACATAGACCTTGAGATTTAATTTAGATAAGGTTCAATACAATTTCATTTGTGCAAGATCAAAAGATTCTATTTTATTAAGATGAAATGACTAATATATGCATAAATTAAAATTGGTTTTTGTTTGCTCATGAAAGACCCTATAACAAATAATGCAAAAATAAAATTAAAAGAAAACGTAAAATTAAAGAAAGAGAAAACCCAACCCCTATGAAACCCTTCCCGTCGCCACAACAAGGCCGTCCAAGCTCCTCGCCGACGTCAGCCACGCCACTCACAATCATGAGCGACCTAAACCCGCGAAACAATGCTTCAAAAATGTTAATTCCTCATTTTGTTCAACCTTAATAAAAAGAGGAAAAATGATTAAATTTAAAACTGGTAAAAATCGACACTAAGGTGTCGAAAAACTATGCCGGAAATCGACACTTACGCGTTGAAAAAAAGACCCAAAAATTCGACATCAACAGTATGTCGAATTTGATAGGTAAAAATCGAGATGTCGAGTTTATAGCAGAGAAGTCGACATTGTAAAATGTCGAATTTGCTACTACAAAATCGACATCTCAGTGTCGATTTTTATCTATCAAATTCGATCTGTACATGTCGACCGCATTTGTGCGGGATTTTTTTCGGAAAAACGATATTCTAGCTAAAAAAACACATAAATGCATACATTTTTTGGTTCTTCCACCGTAAAATCTTCTAATTTGACGTCTTCTGACTCCATATTTGCCATCATTCTAAGATTTGTTGAGTTTTGATGATTTTGAATGTTTAGGTTTTGTGGGTTTATAGAGGAGGAATGAGAAATGTTTTGTGGGTTTTGGAAGATGGAGAAGATGGGAGTTGGTCTTGTGGTTTTGTGATTTTGAACTTTTGATATTGCACATTTGGATTTTCTATTTTGTTTAACAAGTAGGAGTATTATAGTATTTATACATTGAAAAAAATTTAATTTAGTCTTACACAAGTGAAATTAGTATTGCAAATAGCCGCGGCCTTTAGATAAAAACTTTAAACCAAAATAAATGTTTAACTTCTTTAGCCTTGTCTAAATGTTTAAGTAATCGGAGGAGTATGTATGTTGTCAGAACCGGACGGGCTATGGAATTGGACAATCGTTTGGGTCATAGTTCTATAGGGTCGAATGGGTTCAACACCGTTTTCGATTTTATTTTTTATCATATTATTTATTTTAATATTTTAAAAATACTATTTTCTTTATATTTTTTAATTCTCCCACCAATTATTTCACTTTTATCTACATCATCCCATTTTTTAGTGTATTTCTTTTGCTTACACTTCATATTTTCCCGTTCTTTATTCTCCAAATCCGGCAATCAGCCACCCCTATTTAACCACGCATGACCATATCCGGCAATCCGCGACCCCTCTTCGACCACCCATGACTAGATCCGGCCACCCACAACTACGTTCGTGAAATTCGCACAAATCTAACCACAAAAAATCAATTCCAAGTGGTTTGAGTTGTTTTGACCGAAAACCGGGTTCCTTGACCGGTACGTGGTTCTCGAGTTTTACCCAATCGAACCAGATTTTGTCATAACCCCGGTTTTCAATCTTCGTTTTTGGAGGTCAGACTGGACCACCTCTATCGCCACTGGTCCGGTTATTTATCAAACCAAACTTTAAAATCGAAAAAAATGATACAAGTTTGAACAACTATGCATTCAGCTAGATTCGTTTGCACTAAAAATCAAAAATTGCCTAATCGAAATCGACAGAATTCAAAATTTTCATCCAATTTCCACCCTTAAAAATGAATGTGACTATATCAACATACTTCACCAATGAATGAATTTAATTTTTCTAATTATAATTACAAAGAGTAACCATTAGAAACTAAAAATTATATCACTATGAAATACTCAAATTGAACCAAACACAATCATTCAACCCTAAGCATATGTATATCAAAACTATATTCATCTATAAACAGCAAATGCAAATTCTTCAATCAACCTCTCGAAAAGAAATTCTACATCGACAAAATTACAAATCGAAAACTGATATTCAAGTTCGAACTTCAATAGTACATATTACACATCTAATTAAATCATTCTACTATCATAACGAAGAGGCGGAAAAAAATAATTAAAAAAGAAAAAAAGGCGACAATGGACTAAATTACTACACGATTTTCACCTGCAATTGACTACTCGGGTTTACAGGCAATGAAACGAAGAGGTGAAGTTTCGAGAAAATAGGTTTTCTAGAAGTTTCCGAAAAGTCGGATTCTCTCACTATCAAGGTAAAGTTAAATTAATATCATTACTGGACTTGTTGTTATTCCTCATATCGAGTGGCATCGGAGACCAGCTATCGCCACGGAAAGAAGAGGAAGTATGATATGTATTGTTATTATTATTATCTTCCATCGCAGCATTGGAAATCGGTATCGAAGCCGCTTGTACAGCTGTCACTAACTCGGATTTGTGTTTCTTCGTTTTTTGCTCGTGCTGGTTACCCGCTAGAAAACTTCCCACCACAATCTGGCAGTTCACAAGAAAACACATTTAACATGTTGAAGAAATCAAATATATATATATATATATATATATATATATATATATATATATATATATATATATATATATATATATATATAATCAAATCATACTGGGCAAATTACGGTCACCCTGAGGTATGGCCAAATTACGAAAAAACTCATCTTGTTTGGGTAATTACAGTCACCCCCTCCTTTTAAATATTTTACATAAAATTTATGTAATTCGGTTATTTACCAAACCAAATCGTATATTAAGTTCGGTAAACGGTATGAAATGATGGCGAACCGAAATTTCGGTTTGGTTTTACCGAATTAACGTCCCTAAATTTACCTCTGGAGGGGTCTTTAAGTAAGATAATACATAATTGAGGGGTTGGCTATAGGTTACCCGAACATGAGGGGTGTTTTTCGTAATTTAACCATAACTCAGGGGGGTAGCCGTAATTTGCCCAATCATATTTGTATTAAAAAAAATTGATTATTAAGAATAAAAGCGGGAAACGATTACCTGCACCGGACTTGCAGCTACTAACAAACCGGCAACTCCACCACCGACAACACGACCATCTGGACTAGCTAAAGAAACGCTCATGCCACCTGTCCTATTTCTCATTCCACCCGTATCACTCGGCATAAACGACCCGGTCAACGACAGTATCTCGAACCGACCCTAATTAAATAATATTTACATAAATCAAGAAGGTAGACAAATAAATGCAGAGATATTATAATGTCATTAGTTGAATCGGTAAAAAAAGGAGAAATTCTAAAAAAAAAAAAAAAAAAAAAAAAACCTCGTATGTCAATGTACCACCAGAAGAATCAGGTTGACGAAGTGTTACACTTGATACTACACCATTGGCTGAGAGAATGCATATTGCTCGTGGGCCTTGTTGAGAGAAAGATATAACCTTCATCGTCACATCCTTAAAAAAAAAAAAAAAAAAAGAAGAAAAAAATGGAACTTTATCGAAATTAACTCAAGTGAAGAGCAAAGTAGGAGATACACTAGTAATCAATGTATAAGAAAATTCGAAAAAACTTATCGATAATTCACCTCTCCAGCATTGACTGTGATTATATGTGGTGTAAAACTTGCACCGGCGGAACACGAAACCGAGTCACCTGCCAAAAAAAAAAAACAAATGTATAAAATAAGTGTCGATGAGTATGGATATTTTATTTTCTCGGTCGATATGTTTATATCAGCTTAAAGATCACAAACTATATAACAAAGCATGCAATTGAAAATAACATGAATTCCACCGAGACGGGCAAAAACTATAGACGAATTATAGAAATTCGGACTATTTCCGGTTATTTCAAATCAGTAACAAAATACTCATAATCACACTTTATGGAGTTATTTCAAGAATCAAACTAATCAAGAATGGACGAAGGGT